CAGGCTCTCCATTGTCAGCTCCTGCATCGACTCTCTGTGCTTCTGCACAGGCTGCTGGCTCAGTAAGTGAGAGGATTAGAAGTGCTTATGCTGCTTCCTAAGTAAGCATGATTCCCCCTTTCCCCCTCCCTCAATCTCTATCTCACACTTGAGCTGCTTATTGTGTCCTTTCCTTTTTCAACTGCTCTTTTTTACCGTAAGTTATTCCTCTTTCTTCGCCTCTATCCCATGTCGCCTACTGACACTGCTCTGTGTTTGGGGGGAAATAGTTGAATCCAAGTGCGAAGGAACAAAACATTAGCAGGACGTGTTTAGGGCTCAACGATTAGTCAATTTTAAATCGAAATCGCGATTTGAAATGATGCAATTATCAAATCGCAAAGCCTGCGATTTCTTTTAGTTTTGTTTTGTTCTTCTTGTGCGTCAGTCATCCACACCAATCAGAAGTGCTGTGCTCCACATGAACCAGCCATTGTTAACCAATCAGAAGTGGCCCTTGATAGAAGGTGATTGACAGATTGATCCAATCACCTGCCAAGTGTTTTTGAAAGTGCCTGCCCTTTCCAAAAGGCTTCCAATGGAGCTTTCCTCGATGGTTTCTGAGTCAGGTTAGCAATGCTCCATCACGTGTTTCTATCACAGGGTGAATCTTAAACTGAAGCTCGACTTTAAAGCAACCCAACAGAAGTTTCATGTAACTTTAGTTCTTTCACTCGTAGCTCGGGCTGCGGGGTGCTAGAGACGGGAGCACGTTGATGCGACCTTCCTAGCCGGAGATATGGCCGCATTTTATATAAACTTCCGTTGGGTCGCTTAAAAACAAATATCGCAAATCCATTCGCAATATCTGTCAGAAAGATTGCAATTAGATTATTTCCCCAAATCGTGTTGCTACCATGAGCAAAACATCATATCCCTTGAATCACTCATTCTTATATGGATTAGATGACATTTTCTTTTCACAATAACACATTCATACCCAAACAAAGCAACTACTTCTTCTTGGGCCCAACGCGAGTCCACAACGCTTATTTCCAAATGACAGATACATAATTCATTGACATTTAAAAGAAACATCACTACATGGACTAGTGCAATATTCAAATAGCAGGAAGCGCGATATTTGGCAAAGGCTAAATATGTGAAGATATCTGAACGAAGTATAATTCAATTTGATAATGGGAACCATATCGCGATACGAGTAAGATGAACCACAATCGTGCTGCACTGATTTCGGTAAACTTTACCACATACTGACAACAACCAGTCCCTGATAGGAAGTATTACTTAAAGCAAGCAACACTTTATCAAATAAGAAACCTTTTTGATCGTGCATTTGAGGCCCACTTTCGGTGTTTCATACTCTTGGCTTAAGACACAAATGTGATAAAACAAAGTCCTAAAGCAGACAGGCAAAATCTTTATCTGCAAATGTTTCTCGATAAGACTTTCAAAGCGTTTTGTCATCATATTTTTCCTCTATTCAGTACAATAGTCTCCATTCACATCTCACTCGATCATGAAACCTAATTTGACACTTTTGGAAAAGCCCCTCTTATTTAGCTAACTTAAGCTAACCAGAACACCGCCTTCTAGCTAGCTAAAATATGTCCATATAACGCAGTTTCTAAAATGTGAGTCAGACTCGCCCTGGTCTTTGTCTGCGTCTCCGCCACACACACAGGCCTTTCAGATGTAGGCCAAACAACCCCTCTCTCAGACTAAACACAGCGCTGGCCAGCCACAGCATTGCTCTCCCATTGGCTCATCACACATTCCTCACCCAATTAGAATTCCTCTCATACCTGTGGGGGCGGGGCACAGTCAGGGGCAATAACCACTGTTTGCATTCAAGCTGAAATAATGAGTACCCTCCACTGCGTAAAACACCCATACACACTTTCACTACTTCCTTTCAGTGTGCGGATCACCTGAAACACAACACTGAAGACTTCAACTAGACTTGAAGATTGTTTTTGTGTTATTTTAAACAGATTACTTATATTGTATGTACCATGTTGGTACTGAAAGGGCTGCTCAAATGCAACCAAATGTTATCAAAATCATAAAATGGACCAGTGGAATAATCAGACCAGAGAAAGCTGCATTTTTGATAAAAGGTTTAATATTTTTTATTTATTTAAAAACGTTTTTAGATTATTGCGAAGCAGCCTACAAATTGGATACACCAGACTTAATCAAAGGTTTTTGTTTGGAACATATCCTCCTCTTTTTTTTACCACTACATAATCTTTTAATATACGTTTCAATCATAATGAGTGTTATGGTTCAAATACGACATCACTCCAATATCATCATCATATTGAAATTGCAATTTTAATAGTGATTTTCCATTAACATGTAGCTCTGTACTGAACCAATTCCCTATGACTGCATTTCTCCTAACTTGGGCTCAAGCTAAGGATTATTTTAATTGCTAATAAATCGATCAACTGTTTCATCGAGGGACTAAAACAGGAAGTACTGCTGTTGTGAGCCCGGATTGCCAATTGAGACACTATGTGTAACTGGTTAATACAGATAAACATATCTTGTAACTAAAATGAGAAAAATGTATGATAAGGTAAGAAGTATGCCAGATCTGGAGGAGTGTAGGTTTCGTCAATACTCTGCTCTCTTTAAATCAAAAACAGGAATAGAGTAGGAAAATAAACAGCCAGCTTGTAGCTCTTTTACTCGGCATCATCCCTCACAATCATACACTTGAAGTGCTCTCCTGCACCGGTGCATACAGACCAAAAGAAAACCTATTTAGGCTACAGGCAAGCACATTATGGTGTGTGTTTGCTCAACGTTGAATCAGAAGAAGGACAAGGCGTCTGCCCAGCGGCGCAGAGTGGTCATTACCATTTGAATAGAGGCCCCTGGGTGCCCAGTGGGGTTACATTAGCTACAGTAAAAACCATTGTTCCAGCTGTGTCCGTGTGTGAGAGGGAAAGAAAAGACCTACATGTGCCCTACAGAGGAAAGACTGACCCTAAAACGAACACAAATATAGTAGAGTAGATAACAGGATGACCAAAAGAGCCAACTTGTCAAGCTTTTCTGGGTAACACTGAGTTGACAGTCACATTTGTTTTGCTCCAGCTGACACAGCAGCAGAGGTGGGAGAAGTACTCAGTGTAGAATTACTCTGTTACAAGTCCTGCAACCAAAAGGTTACTTTAGTAAAAGTACAGAAGTAATGGCATCAAAACATACTTAAAATACCAAAAGTATAGTATATATATGCAGATTGACCGATTTTAGAATAATATATATCATTTGTTTTGATTATAATTGAATGACTTTGTATGCTGCAGGGTAGCTTGTGAATTTACTCCAGGTGTAACTAAAGTATGTTTTAGGTGTTGTTTATATTTAACATCATTTAACAAAATCTAAAAAAGTAACTCAAGGTCACAAGTAAATGTAGGGGAGTAAAAGTACATGATTTACCTCTGAATTGTAGTGGGTAGAAGTACAAAGTAGATACAATTGTATTTAGACAGTTTTATTCCACAGGCCATAAGACTGTTGCACTCCTGAGCTCGGAAGTGCCTTGATAACTTTTAAGCATTCATCTGTTGTCTCACATTTATTTATTACTACCATAGGCAGTGTTTTATCCTTGTAGAGTATTTAATTTTACATTCTGTTTTAGTCATCTTATTCTATTTGATATGTATATAGTTCACTGCATACACATTTACCTGCACATTTGTCACTTTCTCTTGCACTATTTGATGGGTAATAGTTTATTTGATTGTTTATGTCTTATATACTTATGTAGCATTGTTGAAGGAGCATGGGATTTAAGATGTCCATTGCCATAACTACACTGTAGCTACTGTGCATCTGACAATTGAATCCAAAGTACAGTACTTGAGTACATCTACTTAGTTACTTTACACCACCGCACAGCAGCGAAATCCATACTCATGGCTAATGCATGCTAGCATTTTTAAATACACCGAGAGATTGATTTTGTTTCACACAGGGTGTAGTTCGACATTAGCTTTAATCCCAGGATCAGAGCTCATCACATTCAGGTCAAGCGATGTGTTCGGCTGGTCAAACCCCAAAAATATGGGTGTAGCTAGCAGGCGTTAGCGGTCAACGGTAACTACAGTGTTACTATAAGCTAACGCTAGCTGGTTGGGAAACAAGTGTTGGCTAATCGTAAAGTTTTTTAATACAGCTTTCGAGAGTGGGTGTTTCTAATGACCTGTAAGGATAGGTCTTGTATACAGTGAAACCCACATTGATAGTGAGTAGCTTTCTCGACTGTCCTCTCGGTAATTTGGGTTAGCATATGAGCTAACAAGCTAGCACTTGTGCCTCCAGGAAGTGTGCCGGCCGTTGGAGCAAAGTTATCGCAGTGGCTAAACGGCGGTACTACAACTTCAGTATCAATCTGTGACGTCGCTGGGCCCCAAAATACTATTTCCCCATTGACTTACATTAGGAAAGAGACGTCTGTTAATCAGCATTAATATATTTTTTAAGCTAATTAAACTGCCCAGCAAGAACACTTGTATATAACCTTATTTAAATAACTGTGGACTTAAAGTTGTAAAAATGAAGTTAAAAGCTGAATCCAGAGTTATTTTATCTCTCCATTCATTTGATTCAACCGAGAGCGGGAGATCTGGGGCGGGGCTAAAGGGAAAACCGAACTGCGCATGCTCTATGGGCCCACATACGGGTACTTTTGCTCAGGCCGTTTTGAGCTTCATGCGCCACGGAGCATCTCTCATAGAAATGAACGGGGTCCCGCCTCCGACGCTGTATCCAGTTCTCTTTATACATCTATGGGCTGTTAGCCACACAAAAACCGGATGTTTGGGCAAACAGCAGAGCCGAGAGCCTCAAAGAGACACTGTTAGGTTTGCTAATAACAACACTTTGAAACAGTGGTTTGTATGGAGAAACATTTTAGCTCCAGTTAAAACATGCACCGTAAGGGCTTTCTTTCTTTCGGTGTCGTTTTTTTTTACCTGTCAGTCGAATTTTGATGCTGGACCCGTTCCTCCGAGTCCCAGGATTCGACATCACTCCGGGAAAAAACGATCACTCAAACTTCCCCGTTGGAGTCCCCTCCAAAAACACCGTTTCTCCACTCAATGGGAACGCGAAACACTTACGTTTAAAAACATGCGGTTTGTTTTTGTTTTCCACACGGGTAAAAATGTATTATTTCATCGCAAAGTCCTGTGCTCTTTCGAAATCCAACAACACGGGAGAGCATTTTCGGGCAGGCTCAAGCACGTACTGACGTCATGTCCTTAACGGGTATAACGTGACGGGCGCGCGTCCGGGAAGCGTGGGCGTGCCCGTATAGATCAGATTCTTAATTTCTTACATTGAAGCCTTCAGTTCTGCTTTATTTTAAAGTACTGTATTGTATTCCACACTAGTAAAAGAAAAAATACCCGTGACAAAGCCTATTTATGTTAATTTTCACTGTATTTTTATGATTATAAATATAGATTTCAAAGATAATGTTTAATTAAGAAATAAAGTAGTTTAAAATGGGAAAGCAATGATTGAATATATTTTGGTTCTTTGACGTACTTTAGCCTACATTTTTTTCTGGTTACTCCCAGTCTCACAATAGCCTCTTTAATACCACCAGCACATGGATATTTACTCCCAAAATTAAGTACCAGTCTCCATTCAAGCTTTTGTAGCATCAATACATAAAAATGTAAGTATTTCATACGATTTCATAAGAAATGTCTCAGATGTTATGCATCCTTCTATGGTTATTCTTTTTTTCTCCAATAACAACAATTCATCCATTTAAAGGGCATAATATCACCGTGTAAAAGAGATTATTTTTCTCATTGTTGCCCACATTCACCATCCCACACATCTAATTTCCATGTTCTTATAAATATTCAGAGTCTACGATTGTTTAACTACTCCATAATGATAAGTATGTAATATTATTAGCATTGTATTTCTTATCAAAGTGAACCAGCAAGTAGTGATGTGGAAACCTCAAACATACATCAAATCCAGTTAACCTAAATGCCTTTCTTTATCAAAAATCATACAATACTTGTACTTATAGAAAACATTAGTCAGGATTGTAAACCGGTTAAAGGTTGTGGGAGAGTTGGGTGTTGGGGGATAATGGCTGGAGGGATTTGGCTCTTTAGCGGCCCTGGGGTTAGCTGCACGGCTGCAGTATTAGCTGCTGGAACAATGGACCCTCTCACCAGCCTGTTTACAGGACACAGTAAATCCATATAAGCTGTGAAAAGTCTGGCGGGACACCACACACTTCCAGAGGCTAGACAAACACGCACACAGGTGGAATGAATGATTTCAATACCTTTCAGTCTTCCTCTTTGAATCATGTTTCAGTCTCTTCTTCCCACTTTTTTTTTTACATCAGTTTATGTGTTTGCATCATGTATGTCTCAACCATAGGGGTCTCAACGCTCCACAAGTGGTCATATTGGCAAAAACAGATAGACACGTACACACACACAAATTAGCTTATCCCTCCGAAACGGTCATGTGCAGTGCAGCTGTTAGTATGAATTTGCTTGTCTGAGATAGTGTGTGTGTGTGTGTGTATTTACAATTACTTCAATAAGTCAAGTTCTACCAAAATCGCAAAATTGCACACATCTCCTAACACTTGGTGGTTTTTCTACATTAATAACATCTGTTTAATGTATAAAGGCTTTTGCTTCAAGTATTTTTTAAATACTTTTAGTGAATATTCTTTATGGAACTTTTTATTTGTGTTATTATATTTTTTGGACAGACAATTTTCTTTTAAATAGTGATCTGGATATGAACTGTCTGCTTCAACCACTGAGCTATACAGCAGCTTGTTCAATGAGGTGTGGTTTGAAGTGATTCAATTACATGACCTTTTCTTTTGTTCTCCCAAAGTGATTTACGTATACAAAAAGACAAAACAGGGACAAGAGACCATAGGGCAATTTCATTTGGCTACATGAAGAAAGAGAAAGAAGATAAAGATGAACAGTAAAAGACAGTTTAGATATTATAAGAATATTCTCTAGGCTTCATAGATTCCTTAAAAGACCAGTATTGCTTGAGGTGGCTGCTTCTTTTTAAAGCTGAAAAATGTGGACTCGACAATGAACTCTCCTAAGTGTGCGTCAGTCTGTATCTCTGTACCTTTAGGGAACCAGACTAACATCTGCCACAGTTTTGAGAACCGTCAAATTGAGGCTACATTCTATATGATCAGGATACAATGATTCAACAAAAGGCTTCCCTAAAAGCTCTTCAACGAGCTTTGGTGGACACAGGGTTATTTTTTGGTTATGTTACAAAAGTTTGGGCAAATTTGGTCTCTAAACAAAATCAGAAATGTGTTTCTACTCTTTGAGAAACTGTTTCAATTTAACATGGTTTGAAATTGGGCAGTCTGCAGAGAAAGAGGAGGAAGAAACCTGTGGAGAAGCAACAAAAAAGACAACAAAATGGCCGTCTTAGTATCTGCATGTCTATGATTTGAATATGAGATGCCTTACTCATCCAAATTCTTATCTGGCGCACAGAGAGATGGCCATTTTAAGAGCAGATGTGGGAGGTGGAGAAGATGGTCCAAGTCTGAGTGATGGCTTTCCAGGAAAACCCTAAATGGACGTAGGCAGATTGAAGAATTCCCAAATCTGACATTCCCTGGCAGATCGGAGGGATGAGACCTCGGGGTGATGTCTGGTTTTAGAGATGTGACCATATTACGAAGATGAAGGACGGATATAAAAGAGATTGATCTTAAACACCTGTATTCCTCCTGATTGTACCTCCATGTCCTGCATTTGTGAGTCAAACACTGTTTAAAGGTCCCCTATTATACTGTTTTTCATCAATATATCACAGGTCTCAGATATATACAGAGCCTGTCTCTGATTGGCTGAAACACCAAACAGGTCATTGCAGCATCCCATAATCCCCTCTGTTTCAGCCCTGTTTCCAAAGTGCTGATTCTCTGTCTGTTACTTTAGATGACAATAAGGAGCCCCTCCTCACGCCCCTCTGAGAGAGATTTGGTTAAAAAGAACACAATGGTGCTCTAGAGGAGATTCAGGTGATAAGGGGGGGGGGGGTTACCTTGGTTGCTGATTGGCTAATGGTTACACAAGACAAAACATCGTTATGACATCACAAAGCGGCCAAAATCTGATCAGCTCATTTTCAGACAGGTTTTTATAGAAATGGATCAGGACAAAAAGAGAGAGAATCTCTTTTCACAGAGGGGACACATGTTGATGTAGAAAAGACATGAAAAGGTGGATTTTGCATAGTAGGTGACCTTTAACTGATGGCCAATTTCTTCCTTTTACTTCCAACACACTTTTGTGAGTTGGTTTCTTGGTTGGTTTGTGTTGGTGGCAGCAGCATCATGCCTTATAATGGGGATTGGGGGGACGATGTGGACCCCCCGCCGCTCCTGGTTCCCAATGAGACGGAGCGCCTGGATGCTATGAATAAACCATACGACATCAAGCGCTTCTTCTGGATCAAAGACGAGAAGGAAGCTTTCATCGCTGGAGAGATTCAGCCTGAAGACGGGGACAAGACCTCGGTAAGACTTACTGTACACAGAAGTCCTTTTGACTTAAATACATTACATATTCTTATTAATCTCATTTTGATCTTAATAATCAAAGGATGCAAGTGTGTTCAGGCATTTAAAAGGTGGAATAAAGTATGATCAAATAAAACAATATAAACACATTTAGAGTACAAAATACATATAGCAACAGCAACAGAAATATAGACATATAAAACATATACTGTACATAGGATAGTATATAACTTACAAATCCGCAAGATAGCTGTTGAGCAACTTGTTCATGATTATAGAGTGTGAAACTAAAAGTGGAGCAAGATGGCAGAGAGGTAAGTGGTATGTGATGATTTGGGAAAAAGCCCCCCCAGAGATGTTGCCTAAAAGTCATTACACTGTTCTTGCTGTGGAAAGATGGAGTGGGACCGTAGCTCAGCAATCAGTCTGCTGTACGATGATTTGTTCAGGGAGCAGAACAACATTTGGAGTCATTACGCGGCATCAGGGGAGAGCTGACAGATGTCGGTGTCGTTGGTTCTGCTGACAGAAACATCAGCAGGCCTGGGATCAGCAGCACGCAGGGAAATCTACGGTCATTATTCTCTCTTACTCTCTTCGTTTCTCCGCCATCTCCATGTGCTATCATCTACAGAGCATGAGAACCAGTCTATGCTGATTTAAAGGACAACGTGTTTATTTGGTGATTCATTCATTTGATTTATTCACGAGTTAAATGCAATCATAATGGAGTGGTGTGTAAACCCAATAAGCTAAACAAAGCTTGATAATAGGGGTTCAGACAATGCACATAAAGTATTTACATCCTTAATACTGTACATATGGAATTGACAGTTTGTGTATAATACAGAAACATTACAACCAAAAACCATAAAAAACTATACGTTCATATTTTTTTTCTGGATGAGCTGACTTTAAATATGTGATTACGCCTATCTTTATGACACATGAGAAATTATACAAATGAGCCTGTTGATGGTCTCTCTCTCTCTCTCTCCCTCCTCTCTCCTCCTCTCTCCCTCTCTCTCTCTCTCTCTCTCTCTCTCTCTCTCTCTCTCTCTCTCTCTCTCTCTCTCTCTCTCTCTCTCCTCCGTCGCTCTCGTCATGGCGGCTCTCTCGAGCGCTCTCTCTCTACTCTGCAGGTCTCTCTCTCTCTCTCTCTC